CTGCTGGTTACTAGTCTGTCCTCCCCTCCGCCTCCCAGTGACCACCGTGAGGGTGGGGCCAGTGTCCAAATTGCATCTGTGTCCTGGGGCCTGGCGCCCACCGAGGAGGTGCTTGGGGGGATGTTAGCTGGTTCCCCCCAGTCCTGGGAGCTGAAAAAGCCTGGGCTTGGCCGGCCCACCTCAGTCACTCCCTAGCAGTGCTTGCAGTGCGTGTATATGGCCACTGGGTGTCACTGCTGAGCTACAGCGGGGCCAGTGGCTCCGCAGTGGGGTTGGTCGAGTGTGGATAGGAGTCCCCAGGGTCCTTCCCCACCTGCTCCCAACAGAACAGCTCCCCAGCCTCCAAAGCCTCATGCAGCCCCAGCCCAGCAGGCCCCTCCCAGGTAGGCAGCAAGCAGGCGCAGAGGTGCAGGAGGGGGAGGGGGAGGCAGGTGGATGGGCAGGGGCCCTGCTACCTCTTGGGGCCCCTCCCACAGGTGGTCCTGAGTTTGAGGCCTGATGTGGGATAGTTCAGGCATCTGTTCTCCTGCAGGGACGAGGCTGCTGAGCCTAATTCAGGCTTCACCTCGCTCTCCCGCCTTTCCCGGGCTGGTGGAAAATGTGCTGGGAGGGGCCCGCGAAGGGGCTGAGGAGGGGCAGAGGGCTGGGCTCACACGGGTGTGCTTAAGAGGCTCTGGAGCCACCCGGGGTGGGGGGTGGGGGTGGTGTGGGAGAGGTGGGGTGGCAGTGAGGAGCTGGGAGAGGCTTGCCAGAAAGGTAGCAGGACCCCAGAAGTCGGGGAAAGACATGGGGCTGGACTCGTGCAGGGTGGGGACTCCCACGGCTGTATCCATCACTGACCCCACAATCAGGAGCAGAGAGGGCAAGGCAGGCGCTGGGTGCTTCCCGTGTCCTCACCAGCCAGTGCCCGCCAGGAAGCAGGACTTCCCAGCCAGACTGCACCAGGGATGGGGGCGGGGGAGAGGGAGGCGCAGGACCAGCCTCCAAAAGAGCTTCCCAGTTGTCTCTCCCGTAGGGGTGCCTGCCCCTATCCTGTCCATTTTCCAAATGTCGCCTATGTCAGCGACACTGTCCAGGTCCCTGCATTTAGGGGCTTTTGGTCCTCTCCCAGTGTGTCGCTTGGGTAGGTAGATTTCTGGCCCTGGAATTCATTCTCGGCAAGGATCTCCGATGATTGTGGCGGTTTCTCCCACCTGCTCCCAACAGAACAGCTCCCCAGCCTCCAAAGCCTCATGCAGCCCCAGCCCAGCAGGCCCCTCCCAGGTAGGCAGCAAGCAGGCGCAGAGGTGCAGGAGGGGGAGGGGGAGGCAGGTGGATGGGCAGGGGCCCTGCTACCTCTTGGGGTCCCTCCCACAGGTGGTCCCGAGTTTGAGGCCTGATGTGGGATAGTTCAGGCATCTGTTCTCCTGCAGGGACGAGGCTGCTGAGCCTAATTCAGGCTTCACCTCGCTCTCCCGCCTTTCCCGGGCCGGTGGAAAATGTGCTGGGAGGGCCCGCAAAGGGTCTGAGGAGAGGCACAGGGCTGGGCTCACAGGGGTGTGCTTAAGAGGCTCTGGAGCCACCCGGGGTGGGGGTGGGGGGTGGTGTGGGAGAGGTGGGGTGGCAGTGAGGAGCTGGGAGAGGCTTGCCAGAAAGGTAGCAGGACCCCAGAAGTCGGGGAAAGACATGGGGCTGGACTCGTGCAGGGTGGGGACTCCCACGGCTGTATCCATCACTGACCCCACAATCAGGAGCAGAGAGGGCAAGGCAGGCGCTGGGTGCTTCCCGTGTCCTCACCAGCCAGTGCCCGCCAGGAAGCAGGACTTCCCAGCCAGACTGCACCCGGGATGGGGGCGGGGGAGAGGGAGGCGCAGGACCAGCCTCCAAAAGAGCTTCCCAGTTGTCTCTCCCGTAGGGGTGCCTGCCCCTATCCTGTCCATTTTCCAAATGTCGCCTATGTCAGCGACACTGTCCAGGTCCCTGCATTTAGGGGCTTTTGGTCCTCTCCCAGTGTGTCGCTTGGGTAGGTAGATTTCTGGCCCTGGAATTCATTCTCGGCAAGGATCTCCGATGATTGTGGCGGTTTCTAGGACCCCACATGTGGTTTCTAGGTGCCCTTTCTCTTTTATTCTGTCTCCTGTGTACGTGACAGTTTCTAGGCCCCCCTCCCCACTCTTCCTGGGCTTCCTTTGTGCAGGGTGCTCTCTAGATCCCCTCATCTCACTTTCTATGGTTCTCCTGTGCCTGGAACAGTTTCTAGGTGTCTCCTCCCCTTCCTCCTGGGTCTCCTATGTATGCGATGGTGTCTAGGACTTCGTGTTAATTATGGGTCTTTTGGGCACAGTGGAGTCTATGACCTCATTTACCATCTACATTATATGCATGACAGTTTCTAGGCTGCTCTTCCCACACTCCGTGAATTTCCTCCGTGTATGATGGTGTCTAGGTGCCCTGTACCTCTTACCAAGGGCTCCTGTACCTCAGCATGTCTAGCCTCCCTGCCTATATAGGTTCCATGGCTTTCCTAAGGCCCCCATCCCATTCTTCACGCTTCTCTTTCTTCTGTGGACAAGGGAGCAGAAGCCAGAGCCCTGGCTAGGGGAGGGCCATGGAGGCAGGGGATGCAGTCTGGACTGGGTCAGCCCACACTGCCAGGAGGAACAGGCAGGGCCACCCTGGCCTGGAAAGGCCGCAGAGGGAAGGCGGAGGCAGGGACGTGAAGGCAGAGACAGAGAGCGTGGGGTCTGCTGATGAGGCCGGCCCTGCCCCGTTGGGAGGGACAGGAGCAGGGAGGGAGGGGGCTAGGCCTGAGAACGGTCAAGGCTCCTCCCTGGGAGACCAGGTTGCAGTGGGGATTTGGCAGGGGGGCCCCCACTCCAGAATAACCTCCTGAGTGTCCAGGGCAGGCGGGGGCAGCCTTGCGGGCCCTGAGCTTACCCAATGGCTCTTCTCACCGGGGTCTCCCTTGGGGCCAGGTTCTCCCTGCAAGAAGAAATAGAGGTAGAAGCACCTGAGCCGGTTTGGCTCAGTGGATAGAGCATCAGCCCTCGGACTGAAGGGTCTCAGGTTCGATTCCAGTCAAGGGCAGGTATCCTGGATGCAGATTCCCCAGCCCTGGTCGGGGTGTGTGCAGGAGGCAACCAATCGATGTGTCTCTCTCACATCGATGTATCTCTCTGTCTCTCCCTCTCCCTTCCACTTGCTCTAAAAATGAATGGAAAAATATCCTCAGGTGAGAATTAAGAACAAAAAAAAGAAATAGAGATAGAAGCAATGAGAGAGGAAAGGAGAGAGGGAGGGAGGGCAGAAGGAAAGAAGGGAAAGAGAGAGACATATTGAGGGAGGCAGAGAGACTGAGAGAGGCAGAGACAGAAGGTAGCTTGTATTGGACTAACACTAGATAAAATGCAGAGAACAACTGTTTGAAGACAATGGAAAGTGATGAAGAGCAGCCAGAAACTGGAGGATATCTGGCCTTTGAAAGAAGGAAACTGCATGGGTGACATCCATATATTTATAGCTTTTCCTCTGAAGGGTATACCCCAGCCCCACTCAGTCCCGCAAACAGCTCAAGCAGAAAGCTTTCGTTTTATTGGCCTGAGGAGTCAGAGGTCAAAACTGATAGAACTGCAAGGAGACACAGGCCAGTCCGCTATTGTAGTCGGAGGCGTTAACACTCTCTGTCAGGAATGGACAGGTCCAGCCGGCAGAACATCAGTAAGGACCTCGCTGAACGCAACAATGCCATCACTCAACTGGAGATAATTGACGTCTATAGATCCCTTCATCCCACAACAGCAGGATACACATTGTTCTCCAGCTCACATGGAGCATTCACCAAGACAGACCACATAAAAATAGACCCAACACGTTGAAAAGAACACAGACCATACCATGTTTGTGTTCAGACCACAGTGGCATTAAACTAGGAACCAATAATGAAAAGATAACTGGAAAAATCCAAAACAGACTTGGGGGTTAAACAATACACGTCTACATAACACATGGGTCAAAGAAGAAATTTTAAGAGACATTTAAAAATATTTTGAACTAAATGAAAATAAAAAAGACAGCTTATCAAAAAATTGAGAAGGCTGTAAAAACAGTGCTGAGAGGGAAATTTATAGCATTGAACACATGTTAGAACAGCGGTTCTCAACCTGTGGGTCGCGACCCCTTTGGGGGTCGAACGACCCTTTCAGAGGGGTCGCCTAAATACATCCTGCATATCAGATATTTCCATTACGATTCATAACAGTAGCAAAATTACAGTTATGAAGTAGCAACGAAAATAATTTTATGGTTGGGGGTCACCACAACATGAGGAACTGTATTAAAGGGTCGCAGCATTAGGAAGGTTGAGAACCACTGCTCTAGA